TTCTGTACACTTATAAATACCACGATTCGTTACGTAGATAAGATATATGATTTTCTTACCCACATTAGAATTGAACACTCTTGGAAGACACAGTTTTATACTCTCTGCATAAAATACAGAAATCTGCCGGTGATTGATTGGCTGACACACTGAGGAATTGTCGAAAGTAGCTATGGGATGGGCCTATTACTGAAGTAAATGATTGGCTGACAGACGAAATGTGTAACTGTCGTACGAGTAATAGGACATGAAATTTCAATACAGCCAGTCCTCTTATTTGAGAAGTGAAAATTAATTACAAGCTAGTCTGAAACATACACTTTTTTTGGTACTTATAGATACCATCAGAATTAATATTCAGCAACTTGATTCTCGTAATAAATAGCAATTACTTCCAGTTCTGTAACTCAGCTACCTGCTGCATTTAATATTAAGCTTTCTTAAAACCTGCCGTCATTGTCTCACATAAAATCACATTTCCTCCCACTCCATTACATCATTGTCCCTTTTAAGGCTTGTCATTGATATCGTTAACTACGTGTTCCGATTATACGCTTGTAAACTCATCAGGTTCATAGAAGCGAACGTGAGTCACTGCATTGTAAATGAAAACTACTACTCGATAACATTAATGAAAATCAATAAAACCATATATAAAATCTTCTTTATGCATGGTTTTACTACTATTTACTTACTACTGAACTACTATTTAATATTTATGGAACGATGTTATTGGAAGCGTAATGTATGGCAGAACATTGCGTGGTCTTCCTCTGTTAACACTGCACTTCTGAACCATTTCAATCACGAAATTCATCTACGTAGTATTTAAAATTTGTTTTTGTCTCAGAGAAAACACAATGCATCTCCGTCATTACATCGGATGGCTAATGCTGTTTACAAAAATAACAACAGTCTATTCTGACAATAATATAAAACAAATTAATAATACATTCTGAAGAGAAAATTCAGAACTAGTGAATACTAAATCTCGGTAGGTAGTACATGTGTTATCACTGTTCCTTACACACATTCTCTTTACGCAGTTGCGAAGACACACTTAGTCAGTGGGTGATTGAATCGGTCGCAGAGAGAACACTTGTTATGAGGAGATGCAAACTTGGCTTTTGTACAGCGGAAAACAATAGCGGAAAGTGTGTTGTGGAACCACCGATAGTATTTACATAATGCATATGCAAATCACTAAGCCATTGCTGTTTCACCAATTCAGTTTATAAGCACGTATCGGAGGTTGAATTAAATTATTCTGAATGACAAATAAATGTTGTGTAATGCAATTATATAATTGGAAAACATGCGTATGTATACGTTCTTTGTATAGAATTGCATTAATGGAGAAGTACTCCACCGTATTTGACAAAACATAATGTCGGAACGTCAATTTTAAAAGCTACCTGGAGCATAGAACAAAAGGTTTATGTAGTCCCTTCACACGAATCCGAAATTTGATTTTATGGTATTTCTAAAATACGGCTACTAGTAAACAAATCATTGTATGGCATAAAACATAATTTCATTTGTGAACTTAAGCTTTATTTCAGTTGTCCCGTGTTCGTTCACGCACCCCTCATCCCAACAACGTACGTCCACCTTAAAATCCTGGCACACCACAAACATTCACTTATATTTACAACATTGTATTTATATCATAGATAAATAAATGAGATCTGAAATGTACAGAATTGCAAAGAACGGAGTATGAGTAGGAATACTCCCCACCTGTTGATGCAGTAATCGCAGTGACTAGAAACAGTAAGGCAGATGTGATTAAGAAATGCTCTGTATTTTAAGTAAACCGATGACCCCGTTACCAACACATTATATTTGCTCATTAACCTGATTGAAGACTCCCTGTTGAATAATTTCGGAAATGAAGATGACGAATAATGACAAATATTAATGGTTTGCCTGTTATTAATTCATTTTACGCAGTGCAAAGAAGATACATTTCATCCCATTAGTATCTGCGACTTCTTTTGTATGATAATAGCATTTGACTGTCTTGAGATTCGTTGAACCAGACATTACAGACTTCATTTATAGGTCAATGGGTTTATCATTAGCCGAGATCCGCGTCACTCAGCACGAATGTAAAATGACATCGCGAATTTAAAGTATAGCGACATTTATCCAAAGGCGTGCTTGGTTAGGAAATGCGTTATGAAAGAAGATGAGGGAAATAATTCGTTGCTTGTGGCTACATACACTCACGCACTGAGAAGGAAATACAATAGCTTACGTAATTCAGCAATCCGTTACAAGTTGTTGGATTTGAAGAACTGCTAGATTAAGAATAATTTATTTTTACTTGAAAAAACAGTACCTGATTGCGGGCCACTCTGGCAGTTACCAGTCTTTTGGTGGGCTTATACCTGTTTGCTGCATTTTTTTGATAAAATCACGGAAAAATCAGTTTCGGTAAATAATTTAAATTTGGAAATATTGTAGCTTCAGTTGCACAGTTGCCATTGAGACTGATTCTTAAGTTAAAGGTTAAGTTGTCCCTGATGCTTAACTAAACACAAGGCCACGTGGAAGTGAAGGTAACGCTTCAAGAATTTTTAACCTAGGCGCTAGATTTATTCTCTAGTTATTAATAATTAACTGGGTACCCTAAAAAAATTAAATTAATGACTGCCAGATATCCTCCAGTTTGGGAAAAATATTTATATGACTTAAGTCGTCGAATAAAAGTGAAAATAATTAAATTGTTGAACGTTCATATGGAAGACCTATAACAAACGTGATACTTTCATTTTGAAATTCTTGACTTTGTTTTGTATACATACAGGTTATTAATGAAAGAAGATTCAAATACAATACAAAGGGCTTAACGATACGCCTTCTGGTGACATTGAGATGGGAGGATGTTCATTGGCGATGAGTAAGATTAGGATTCAAGCTACGACCCAGTACAAGCGCAGAGCTCTACTGCGTTTTTCTAGCACGTTATGGAGAAAATTACACGGCGAGGAACTTATAATTCGTATTCACTAAATAATGTTATGGTTATTGAATTGTGGATGATGAGTTGAGCGGGGCATGTAACACGCATGGGAGGGTGAGAAATTCATGAGATTTTAGTTGTAGAACCTGAACCGCACAGAGGATAATATTAAAATATATATTAAATAAATAGGGCAGGAGGCCGCGTACTGAATCTACCTGGCTCAAGATAGGGACAAGTGCGAACTCTTGTTAAAACGAAACCTTTTGTTTCCATAAAAGGGGGGGAATTTTTTTTAACTAACTAATTAGTTTCTCAAGACGGGCTGTGCCACATGGGGCTAGTTAATTATTGTGTTATTGCTCGTTTTCTATGCATAACAAGTGAAAGTTGATGATTGCTTGCCCTGTTACTACAGTCTGAGTGTCGTATCACGTGATTCTAGCTCTGAAATTGAGTGCTTTAATTAAGGAATATAATTATATTCATTTGACTCGACGAAACTGAAGTGATAATCGAAATTAATGGAAAGTAATCTAAATAAATACACTGCATACCAGTGAAATAAACGTAAAATGTTACTAAATACTCTACCCTTTGAAAAGTAATATTATTTTCTGCATGTTTGGGTCATTGCAATGGTGTGCTGAAATGAATAAAAGCTGTACCGAAAAACACGTTCCTCACATTAGATAATTGCAAGGAAAACGTATTTCAGTTTCGTGGAAAATAAGAATTGTCTTTGATAGGGTCTTCTGAGAGACAGCGTGCATGCCTGCATTAAGCAGTTTTGCAACAAAATATGTCTTGAAACAAGAGTAGGCCCTACCGATTGTCGGAATGACTTGGAGTTTTATAAACATGACGACCCGAGAGTTTTGCTAATTGACAATTCATGTTTTACTTATCTTGTTAGTCGCTCGCATTGTGGCACGTACGAAGTCGAAATTAATTGTTCTTCTGATGATGTTTGATATGCCCAGCCAGACATGTAGGGTCCTTGATTGTTTTACGGTTCTACAGCAGGGGTTCGATGCTGTCACACATCTCCATCTGGTGCCAAGGTCAAGGAAAGTGGAGCCACAATTCCGCTACCCATACGTGTTTATGGCATGGGGCTTAATAGGAACCATGGACAATTGAGGTATGAGGTTTTCATGGCGGCGAGTATGAAGATGGCTTTCTTTTGGGTAGTTGTGCTGTGTCATCTGGAGAAGTTTACGAAATTTTCATAGGTCCTTCCTGCCTTCATAATCGGGGCACTCATCGCCTTGACGACGGAAGGACAAATTTGTTAGGAGTACTAATCATGTAGAAAGTTGACATCTCAGAGGTAAATACCAAAAGAACAAATATATAGTAAAAGGATATTGTTCTGTGACGTATCGACTTCTGAGGGAAACGATGATTATGAACGACGGATCGAGCGCACTGAAGGAAGTGCTTTTTGTCAATTTTAAGGTAATATCCCAGAATGTTGGTGGAGGAATGGAGTAAAACTGCAAGCATTACAGTCAGGACGCGTAGGCTTACGACCGACTTTTGAACCGAGCACGAAATAGAAATGATCACGCCGCCTGATTCAAGTTAAGTATCTTATGGCAAAAGAGAAGGGGAATCTTTCTTTACTTGCATCAGTTACACGCAAAAGTGGGTTCTGTTGGTATCGGATATTACGAAGTTGTGAACACAGCACATTTTCCATTGGTAATGAAATAGCGATAGGAAGAATTGTTGGAATTGCTTGTGAAAGTCTTCATTTAATTCTGGTATGAAACAAATTCATGTGAATATCACGACACTTGAACGCGCTTCGAATGTCTGTGTGTCCGTCTGATTCCGTTCAGTAACTCCGTTTTTTTGATAGGCTACGATAAAAATTGGGTAATGTAGACTCCCGCATTATGTAGAGAACAAAGTGCATTAGCGTTATAATAATAAGAACCGATAAGATCCAAAATTGCTTCTAACAAATGCACTTCATGCAGAAAATAGCCACATACCCCCAACAGAGACAGCATTCATGTCCTACCTTGGTGTCGTGCAGCTGCAGGAAGGTTGCTATTCCCGCCCTGACTCGGTTCTTGACACCACGCACTGTCCCCTTGGCACTGCGGATGGTGGACGTCGACTCCTTTCCCTGCAGTAGATCCCTGTACCCCGCGAATGTTTCTTCGTTCTCGATACCCTTCTCCTGAACGGGGTCTTTACTGTCAGCGACGTGTTCATTGAGGTGAAAAGTATAGAATCGATCGGTGTCAAAAAATTCACCGTTGCTAAATATTTTACTAGATGACGCTTGTTGTTTCTCAGCTGTTGCCTTCTGTCGTTCTTCATACGTCTTTTCCTCCACAATGGATCTCTTGGACTGGTCATCTGAGGAAGTGGAAAGGGTAGATACAGGGGAGATATCCTGGTACTTGAATACGGAGCCATTTAACTTGGTGTTGTTGAAATCTTTTGCATTCTTCAGTTCGCTGTGCTGTTTAGATTTTGACGACAGTTCATCTGCCCAGGTTCTAGTCTTTCTGGTGAGGGTACTGCAGGGTGAGGGAACGATGGTCAGCTTGGCTGTACGGGCTCTGATGTCCTGGAGGAGCCCTTGTGGAAGTGAATGTTCAACAGGTGGAATATTCGATCTTGGAGGCGTGGGGGGTGTTAATGGCTTCACCTTCTTCTCTGTTACCGTACCTTCCGTAAGGGGCTTTACCTTGCTGGTTTCTTGAATACCTTTAATGTTATTTCTGGCGTCCTCAACAACGGGTGTTTCCCCATTTAGTTCGTTGCTGTTAAGGGAATCACAGCTGATATTGCTTCCCTCGTCATCACTGTCAACTTCTGCACCACTGCTTGTGAGACTGCCTGTACGCCGATGACCACCCCCGTTTACGGTGACAGTAACGGTGGCTTTTGTCGCCGTCACAGATTTTTTCTTGGGCAGAGGCGGAGGGGTGCTGCCATCCAAGTCGCTGCAGGTACCACTGTCTAGAGTATCACTTGGTGAGGACTGGCCACTGGAAACCACCATCCCGTTTGAAGAGTAGGAGCCATAAAAGAAATAGGGATTGGCACGTTCTGGCGAAGACGTCTTCAAAAAATTTCCAGGGATAGATGTAGTGGAGCGACGTACTATTTCCTCGTGTTGCTGATGTTCTGCGTCATTACTACTCACGTTGATCCTGATGCACCCTTCTGTAGGGGTAGACGTGTAGTGTGACGGGTGGAAGTTCAATGACTGAGGCTCTGCTTTGCTTAAGGACGAGACCGGAGGTTTACCACACAGCGACGGGTATTGCTGTAAACTTGTCGGATATTGTGCAGTACTCGTGATTGCATCGTCTCCTGGACTGATACGAATCTTGACCACGTGATGGTTACCATTGGTGATATTGTGAGGTGAAGGAGGAGGCGTCTGTTCGGTCAACGGTTTGAGAGATCGTGCCTCTGGAAATGTAAAGCTGAGAATATCACTTTGGTGCGTCACAGATGCGTCTTCTGTTTGTATTGCGCTAAATACCGTTGTTATTGCTGACTGAGGTGTTACTTGTGTCTTTATGACTTGGTTATTTGTAATTACACCACTGTTACTAATGCTCTTTCTTGTCTTCGGAGGGAGTGGTGGGGGAGTGCTCGACCTATCACAGGCGTCATCCATTTTTACGTCTTCAGAATTACTGTAGTCCCAGTTACAGATAATGTTTGTACAGCTCTACGAAACAGTTAGAATAACACGTTTAAAGCATTCTGCTAATCACTTCTAGGTATAGTGCTACGGCGAACAGACATCAAGATAGCAGATCTTCCATGCTTCAGATAAACACTGAACTTAAAAGCGATAAAGTTATCACAGCTGATAATTATTTAAATTACAGCCCGTTCTGTTATGTTATCTTTTACTTAATGCACAATAATTATTATATGGAGAAAAACTCTTTAATTTACTCTCCGTGTTGAATGTTAACGCTTGCAAGTCACTTTCTTATCACTTCACAACACTCTTAAGTCACTTTTCACTAACATTATAAAAAACATTTTTCTATAACGTCAGTCGTACTATCTTGGGCCACGCAAAAATGGTATTTACTCCCCACCCGTTTGGGAACAGTTGTGAAATAATAGACGGAATCTTCAGTCCTTCGCCGCCGAAGCACTTTGGAACAAAGTGCACTACTGACTTCGACCAGAAGAGAGGTCTTTTGCCGGACGGCAAACGAGAAGAGAAAAAGTTGTTTTCGAGGTAGCAGGAGAGCAACCGGTCGCGGCAACTGGGTTCCAACCGCGCGCGTGTTTGTGTTCCACTTGGAGACCGACTGGACAGGTACTGGAGGAGCTGTTCTTCAAGTCGCCTCTACTCAGCGGTGAGAGGAAGTAGGCTGTCAGCTCTCTCTTTCTCCTGCACTCTCTCACCTCCCCACAAGTATACCTGAACACAATTCGATATGTCAAAATACTGCTGCCGGCTTTAGCTGATCTCACCACCTTAACATTTCGTCAGCATAATGAACCAACGTCGCGGCAGAGTTAAGAGCACTCCTGCTCCATACTGCACAGAATCCGGATTCAAAATTTGACTACAGGAACGGCTACCCTGACGGATATTTCGTTATTTTATTCAGACCCTCCAGAAATATGACAGAATATTGCCTTCAATTAGGCAACGTCCGCTTCAATTTCACATCCATTTCAATTCGTTATTTATCATAATGTAATCCGATGGTATATAGTCAGAGCTGCTAACAGCATCGTTAAATAAACCAAAAATTAATAACTAACACCAAGCCATCAACAACAAAGGTTACTCTTCGGTGGCTGGCACAAAGCAAGTCCATTACACGTGTATAAGGATTTCTTCACATACTATGAAGACATTCTTAGCTTTCATTGAAACCGAATATTCTTACCGTGTTCACAGGACCCCAAAATGTTACCTTAATCTGATTAATTTGTGCCCAGTCCTTATCTTAACGCTCTTATTTATGTAAAACTCGAATGGTCTCGTCCTTGAGGTTTTCAAACCAACATTTTCCTTTCCTTTATAATTAATACACCGCCTGCCTCGTAATACTTTACTTAATAAGTCTGCGTTATTAAATGATAAATACAATTAAAATTATCCCTTGCATGACATGACTCCCCTTTCGTCCGTGTTCTGTTATTTAACCGGCTCCTTCGTGTTTGTGTGGTCGTCTATTCAAGTCTCAAGCAGAAGACATTTTTGCTGCAGCGTGTTCTTTTTCCTCAGTGACTCCATCCAAATGCGGGACAGTATGTTAAACGACATGACATTAAGAAACAGTTCCAGACGCATCGTTTTCAACCAATGAGAATTTATAATTATTACTCCTAATTATACGATATTCTAAATTATGAGAGTATTTTCTTTCTGGAGGGATTTTGTTACCAGCTACCAATTCCTTTGACGTCTTTTTTGAACTTGGGTAATATAACAATCAGTTATCGAGGTAACATGAAACATTACTGCATTAACAAGTATTTACACGGTGTTACGCGAATTTTAAAGGTGTCAGTTAATTCTCCCTCACCTGTACATGTGGAAATATATTAATTTTAATTTTGTGAATTCCATACACATAAGCCATCTTCCGGCACACCTCCTTGATTTCTTATACAGCATAGGCTACAGAAACCACTTAATGTTTGTCGTCATATTTTTCCGACCGGTCTGTTCCAGATACGAACAAGATTTCACTTCACTGTTTTCTGTGCGGTCAGCGGCGTGCTGTGAACTCGGATGTGACCCTGGAAACACAACACTCGCTCTCCCAATTGATTTTGTATGGCTTACTTGCTCTAAACAAATTAAGATTTTAAAATCCGCCTATTAAATAATTTATTTGTTCATTAATTTAGACGTCTATCATTTTCCGTCTTAGAATTTCTGAGACAATTTGGATCTTTAATGAGGGTTGAATCCATCGGAACGTTTTCACTATTATGTATCACTGGTTTCCCATCCATACATATGAATAGGTGATCATCATCGACGTTCAGGAATGACGTCTGTCAACCTATTCAGCATATCGTCTCCATCTTAATATAAGTCTTCCAATTCCTGTTGATCCTTATTGCTTTGTTTCAGAATTAGTTTTAGTAATATACTTTGTACCATGCTGCGTAAGTTTTGAACCATTTACATTTGTCCTATTTTGGATTGAAAATTTATATCTAATTCGTGTATTTTTATTCGTTGCGTATTTTAACAAATGACTTAAAACTGTGTAATTTCTGTAACATTTATGATAAGAATATTTTAATTTGTCTTTGTGTTTACACGAACATATAAGTTCCTATATTTAAAAAAGTTTTATATTTTATAATAATAATATCGGTATCGCCATAATTAAATGAGATGTATTCGTTATTCGTCATTTCTCGATACTTCCGATTTCTTCTTTTGCACGTTCATTGACGTTGTATTAAGTGAAATGCCTGCACAAACAACTCTCAAAATGAAGGCAGAAAAACTGCTAAGAGTGCTCAGCTGAATTTTTAATGCAGTAGGAACAGACCTGATCCATATTTGGATGATGTTAATGACAGTCTGCAAAGCGAAAGGCATATAACCTTTCGAATATCTGTCGCTCTAAGAGAATCTTTCCGAATCGCTATGTAGCTTCCTGAGAGTAAGTCCTGGCTTTTGACACCTGCTCTTGGAACCATCCCCGATAAGTGCTCGATTTTGTAACGCAAGTGAATCTTCTTTGGATTGATGTTTACCTGTGAGAAATTAACGCTAGTTAATCAACGAAGCAATGTGGTGGTAACCTATGTTGGAGAAGTATTCGGTTAAATCCGTTCTAGGATATCGGTTACCCTAAATGAGATTCTTCATTCTCTTACTAATTTTCTACAGATTAATGATGATATGGTGCCTTAAAATAGGTCACAAACGTCTCCTTCCACATGCTTAAATTTTCAACGTTTATAGTCAACCATTTTGAAACCAGCGCTCTCAATATCGTCATAAAATCACGAAAGAATCAATCAGTAATTATCTCATTATGGTTTAAGGAACAAAGAGAATTGGTGCTTTGTAAGAGAAATAAGACGTTCCGCGCTTCTCAAAAACGTTTGATTTCAATAAAGAATCCTGCATATTAGTAGGAAGTGTTTTTCATTAAAATTAATCTTACAGATGCAGTGTCTGAGAATGTGCACTGGATTAATCTGTTGGTTGATTCAAAGTTCTCACTGCAACGAGTGTGAAGATGTTCCACTGTATAGTCTGATAGATATTAACCGATGTTTCAGATGAGCCTACTGTCTCCATCATCCGAGTGATAATCAGTGTAATTCATGTAATTTTTTTTTTGTATCACGTACTCAGTCAAAATGTTTCTATAAAAATGGAGCTGTCTTCATTGAGAAGGGTCCTTTGTTGCAAGCAATGTTTCTTTTCGTAACTGCCTTCTGACTAGATCTGGGACCCAACCAGTTTTCCATAAAATTTCAGTTGATTTAATATAAATTAATAGCTATTTGGCAAAGGAATGCGCACGTCAGTAATTTAAATATTGTTACATGTGTAATATAAAACGTCGAATATTCAGGCCAGAATAAAAATTCAAGATAAGTCCTCTGTATGTCTGCCACTAAACCTTGACCGTATGGTACATCGATGGAGTGAAATGTGAATAAAGAAAACGTCGTTAACAGAAAGTAGTTTTTATTCTGCGTGAGTGTTTCACACAAAAGAGGCAGCACATTCTAACCAAATTGTGGCCTCCAGGAGCTTAACATAATTCAAGCATGACTTTCATATTATTATTAAAAGAATTGGCTCTTGTAGTGATAAATCTGGAACATAAGCTTTCGCTTCAGGCAACAGCAATTATCGGTTTTCAGGGTTTCAGCCACGGCTGTTTCTTTGCAGTGTGGTTAGTTATCGACGACTATGGTTTCACTTGTGGTAACGGAATAGCTGAAAAAAGAATTCAGATAATAAAAACACCAAAGCAACAAAGACGAGGGACAACAAAGCAAATAGTGAGCGAGAAAGAATGAGAAACCTTGAAGAATATTCTCTGCTTCTTTTGACAAAGTCCGAAGTCCTGGGCAACCTCTCTTAACTAGCAATTGTTTTACGATGAGGGGTTTGCTAGCCCCCAGCTAATACTCAAACAGGACGACAGGTCTTTTCACAAAATATATTTAGCGTATCACGTGAATGGGAGATGAGAAATGCATTCAAGATTTTATTCGGAATATCTAAATGAATCGAAATATTGGTAGAATAAATGTATTCAACAGGTTGACATTCAAATATATTTCACTGTTTATGACTGTGTCTGTATCAGTCCTCAGTAATGGTGCTAGATGGCAGAATATTCTATTTTAAAAGTGCCGCTACAATTAGGCAGCATTACATATTAGTCTAAAGATAATAAATTTAAGA